GTCACTCTACCATGCTAGTCCCTTGTACTCCACCTTATGCACAATTGAAGTTTTTGAAAAGGAGTTGCATAAGTTTTTACTTTATGTTGTTCCCTGTGGATGGATACTTGATCAGATTAAGAGATTTCTCCCCTTGATCAAATCATATTCTTGAGGATGATTTGCAAATTCAATTATAGTCATATGATCAATTTCGATATTTGATTCATAAGAAAGATCGCTCCCTTGAGATGAGTTTAAATATATATTGCTGTCAAGAATTCAATACCGACATTTGGTCAAAACAAAATATATGCCTCCTTGGAGTATAAATGTCTAGTCTACCTCATCGAAATTGAGTTCTCTTAGTCAGGGAAAAATGATGAAATAGAAATAAGTAGAATTCGAGTGTATTTAGAATTTAGTAGTTTGACATATTAGAAGTTTGATATTATCCATGTTATCAATTGTAACAAGTTTGTTTAGATAAAACGTTCAATTAGATTGAAGGTCCTTCTCTATAGTCTATATCTATATAAAAGGGCTTATGTTCGAATTTATAGGTACCCTTGAATATATGACAAAATTATTTATTTTGCCCTCAATTCTTCTTCTCTTCTTGGACCCCTTTCTTATTCTTGCTTGTTCATTGTCAAATTATATGCTTCCGCATCAAACACACTGTCAAAAAAACCCTTGTTTTGCAAGACAGAATTAGTGTCTTGACATTGTTGCTCTTGAAAACGCATAGCTTTTTTTTTATTCTTAGTCAACTACCTTAGTTCCATGCCACTAAAATGTATCCATTCGCTTTTCTCGTTCAAGAAATAATTAATCATAATCCAAGGTTGTACACAGTTCACATGCGGATTTATAATCAAATAGCACAATAAATTCTTAGTCAACCCACACAGCAAAATTCAAACCACACTTGTAAAGAAATTTTCACCCTTAATACCAAATAATTATTTTGTGATGCTATAATACAAACATAAATTACACAATCTCACATACAAGGAGGCTAAGTCTAACCTGCAGGAAGTCCCAGCAAAGCTCTCCCTACAGCTTTAAAATACTATGCAATAAAAAAACTTAATTATAATAAATTACTAAACCTAAACATAAATAAACAAATTAAGCTGAAATTGTGAATAATTTAAATATAAACTTACGGAACATTTATCGGGATTGTGCCGAAACAGACTGTACAGTAGGATCACAACTGAAGCTTCAACAATCTGATAATAGAAATAAAAAATAAAAAATAAAAAGTAACAAGCTATTTAATGCATTAAAAAAATTGGAAATTGAAGAAAATACAATGCTTACCCAGATTAGATATAGAGTTTCAGCTGGATTTGAAAGGAGATTAAGCGAATAGAAATTTTGAGCTGCCCAAAAAGCTGAAACTAAACCTAGCCCACAAATCAGGTGCAATACAAGTACCTTTACTGGCGATGTACAAAAAACCGGGTCGTTTTTGGTTTCCGAAGGATTTAAATTCCACTGCCTCTTCTTTTCTTTCTCCATTCAGTTTTCTTCAAGCCAACCAGTTTGAGTTTGAATTGATTTAGAGACTGTTTTTGTCTGTTGATAAACTTCACCAAGCCCCAAATGTATTTTAGCCATAATTAACCCAGGAATGAAATGGTAATTATCAGAAAATTTTCATTTGGGTAGCCTAACGTATAGGAAACTTTCATTTGGGTTACCAACTTTCTGTTTTTCCAATTTAGTCAACAAATTTATGATTTTCTTAATTAAGCCCCTGTTTGGCCCCCATTTTGGGGTGTTGAAAATTTTTGGAATAGTAATTGATGGGAAAATGTGTGGTAGAAAAGTAATGAAAAGTTTTAGATTAGTGTGTAATATTATTTTATTTGATGAATCTGTGATTGAAATGAAAAGACAAAAAAAATTAATGTAATGTAATGGAAAAAAATGGGGGCCAAACGGGGGCTAAAACAGCAAGTGGTGGTATATTTTCTTAATAACATAATAATGCAGTACAAACTTAGGAGGGGCAAGGCATGACCTGAGCTAAAGAAAGAAAAGGGGAAAACTTACACCATATAAAAATGAGAGGTACAATGTATAGAAAGAGCTTAAAGTGAACTAATGTGGACGCTTCCCAAATTTGGTTATCATGCAGCGTATGAGATATCTCGTCTTGCAATCTTCAGCATAATGTCGCTACACGCATGCTGCAACTATATATAACTCTATGCACCCTGGGGAATATCCATTTGTGCTTCATCATCATTCGGTGCAAACATATCAATGCATAGTTCTAAAAATTTTACAAAAATAATATGCGCTGAAGAAGCTACATCGAGTACCTCTATAGTAGTACAGTTCACTAAAAGGTTGTATAGAAGGGTTACACATTAATTTTAAACTTATATACTTTTATTTATGCTCTCGCCGTCACAATGCATAAATGACCTAAACATGATGGTAGGCCTGCTCCAAAATTGACTAGATAAATCACCAAGACCCATGCATTCCCTATCATCGTGAATATGATCTCTGAATTTATCCTTACCCTAGATCCGCTATGAAGATGTGTCTATCTCGATTGATGATTTTTTGGAACCCTCTAAAGAGTGATTAGAATGGATTCTCCCGCGTCCAAGAAGTGGTGCCCCACATTGCCTCACTTTAACTCGATGGCTCCTTTTTTTGAATTTTACCCATCCCCCTAACTAAGACTTGAAGACAAGTCGGTGACTTGATGTGGCTTCACTTTTATGACTTGAGCTACGCCTTGAAATGGTTTATAAGACCATGCTTTATAGAAACTTCATCACAAGAGTAGAGCAAATATACTGACTTGTTATAAAAAGAGTGCAATTACTGACTTTTTATAAGAATCTAAACAATTGTTCTTCAATACCCAATTCCCAACTATGAATCTTCAAACTCTTCTTGAATGTTTGTAAATCTCCCGGTCAATAGTATTCTTCCTCAGAAAAATCTCAAATTGAGATACAAATATTGGGGATTCAATTTATTTTGATGTGTAATCTTGACTCAAGAATGTATCTCTAGCCTCCCCCCATTTTAGAATGAAACACTCATATTTCTAGACCTAAATTAAGTCTAAAATAGAGTCTCAAAAGAATTGAAAAATAACTTTATCCAATTAGGATTATTTAAATTGCTGAAATTTATACTGACATTGTAATTTGGTCCTAGAATCTTCTTTCTTTTTGCAGATTGAGTCCTTTGATATTGTAATTGAGGTCCTTCAACTTTCAAAAACGACTCTTTGATCTCCAATTTTCAATATATGTCCAACTTTACTCCTTTTTTAATCAATTATTGCTCGTTTTCATCCGTTCTCATCCAATACTGCATTTTCTCCTAAAATAATCAAAAACATACAAAAGGTAAGTATCTAATTCATAAAATTAATCTCAAAAGCTATTGTTGATGTTCAAGATATGTATAAATATTTTCACTTATCAATCATCATTAGCATGGCACTCTCACATTACCTTTTGTTGCGTCCTCCATGCAGATTGTGACATTCAACTTCACGGTTTCATTATTTATTTGGCAACTTTCGATGCTTCTTGTAGCAATATCATGAGTTTGAAAAAAGATGTTAAATATATTAGTTGTTTATATTTAGGGTAAATTACTCTTTGTTTCTTATATGCTAGCAATACTATATAAAGCTTATATTCTTGTATTTTCATTATGTAATTAATATCTAGCCTCTTTTTCTTTTCTCTATATTTTGTTTATTTATTTTAAGAGGCCTTAGGTGTAGTGACCAAAAGGCTTCATTCTGTTGAAGAGAACTTTTGTGAACAGAATCTGCAAAACATTATGTTAAAGAGAAATTGCATGCAGTGGCGGATCCAGGAATCTTAATCAGCTAGGGTGGCTGTTGACCGTTGACCGTTAATTGTCAACGACCGCAATAGCAAGATCGTTTGCAAAAGACAAGATAGAGGGAAGGAGGGAGGGAGGACTACAAGAGGAAGAATATAAGCTAAGAAGGCATCCATTTTTCTCTAACAAGTTAGCTATTGAAGGGTTATTTAAGTGATGTGTAGTCGACTTTACCAAAATGCCATAAACCCTTGTATAGTCTACTTCCCCATCAAGCCATAAACCTGTTCTTATCTCGAAAGTTAACCACAATATCGGACACATTCACCTGAGCCCAAGGGATCTCATAAAGTCAATTTCTCAGATTCTCTGCTCTTCCTTTTGGGCCTTTCCTGCAAAGCTTAACAAATTCAAAGAAGGCAATACCATGGAGAATAATCCTTTATTAACCATATCCCAAATGTCTCAAATTCATGAAAATTCTCCCGAACACTGTGCCAAGCAAGGACTCAACTTCAAGAAATTCAACAAATCCCAAATCACAAAGCATTATAAATATTCAAATAAATCACATATTGACAAATTATCAAAAATCACAGATTACCGCTACATCACAAACCCTAAATCACAATACTAAATCTATAAATCACCAATCAATATATACAAATCAAAAATCACCAATCTGAAAATCCATCATTCCCCAATGAAAATGGCATCCAAAGATGCACTAAAAAAACAAAAACAAAAACAAAAAAAAAACGAAGAAGAAGAAGAAGAAGAAGAAGAAGAGAGGCTTACATAGCGGCAGACAGTGATGGAAGCCTCGGCGTCGACGACTAGACGGAAGCAGCCAGCAGGTCACAACCCAC